ACATTGTTTAAGCACTTCGACAATGTTTGTGTTTTGTCGACCGAAAATAAATGCCATCCTTTATTTCATAAACCACACTCAATGAATCTTATTAATGCATCTGATTCCGTCATTTTTTGCTTCTTCTACACAGCCTGAAGAAATAAACAAAAAATTTAAACAGTATTTAATTTATACATATTTTTAAGATTTTATAATATATATATATATATTTAGAATTGTAGAAAATAATTTAAAAATAATTTATGTATAAAATCACAGGCAAGTCACGATCATGATTGTACCAAAATTATTCAATAGAGATTTGAATACAACACTCTGTTACAGTTTTATAAGCTTTCATAATTATGTTCATAAATTCTACAACGAACTCTGAAAATGTCTGTTTCCTGCAATTAGCGAGGGTCGGCGGAAGTTGAAAGTGGTGTCTTGATTATTTATTTAGAACGTATTATTCGATAATATTTACACATAATTCTTTTCCAATTTCAATTCTCCGAGTGAATTCTTTAGTGGATGGGAGCGATAAAAAATGCACCCTCCCGTTGTAGTTGGTTATTAGGGTTTGAGGCTCTCTGAACGTTCCGAGGGGGAAAGGAAAACTGATTTATGTGTTAGTTGGGTCAGTGGTGTAACTGGAGACGAATTCGTCGGAAACAATGTTATAGGGAAATATATTTCGGTCGCTCCCACACAAATACATATACACACACACACACATACACACATATGCATAAGGTTATGCTCGCCATTAGTGAATATAATCTTGACGAAAAACAGATGTTCCACTTTACGGAGAACAAAGATTGTGCTGTAAAAATGGGCAAGCAAGTCTTGCGGTTGGTTGGTTGGTTAGTTCATTTGGGATTGTGTGCGCTGCTTTTAGAAAAAGGAATCATTCGCTCTATTATTAATATATTTATCCACTTACCATGTAATGGGTTTGCTGCCAAGAAAGATTACTCTATTCATTTACTTTTTATTTCGGCGCGTCGGTACAATGGAAGGACGAGACAAAGGATATGGAAATAGATATGGCGAACTATTTTACAATAAAACTTAATGGAAAACAGATGTGCTCCGTTTTCGTCCGACTAGAGGAGACACAGTCAGAGTCGTCGGTCGGTGGTGTTATGCGTGTCCAACCAGGAGAAGATTCTTCTTCTATCGTATCGATTCTGCATGTCTCCGCATGTGTTCATTCTTCGTCTTCTTCCCTATCATCTTACCAAGTTCCGTTCAATTCTTTCGACGACTTCGCTATGACAACAATATTAACCTTTTGACAGATCGTGGGGCCATCGCCAACCCAAGGATTGTTTTTGTAAAACACACAATATATATATATATAATATACACACGGAGTGGATTCTTTTTTTCGCGCTGATAAATCCGAAGCTTATCGAAATTGCATTATGTAAACACACACACGCACACAATGTGTAACTGAAATTGGTCGGGTCACAGACACGGTTCACGAAATTAGGCCAAGTATGAATATTTGCAATAGACATAATTATTGCCGCGATAAATTAATTATCACCTAAAACACATTTCGAAAAAGGGAATTATTTTCTTGTTTAGATCTAACTTGTCCTTGCTTCTATTATCACACGACAATTCTTAAATAACAATGATGACATGCAAGAAATATTTAAAGAAAACAAAATTTCTTATATAATAAAAATGACTTCATGATACCAATACATTTTACATATTTCCTTTATTCGAAATAGTTTTATCATTGGAAATACCAAATTTTACATAAAATAATTGATTTTGTTTATTTGAAACTGTTCTTATATTCTCAAAATTTCATCTTCGAAAACTTATTGGATATACTGAAATTTCTTTAAACTAATGTTTCCTGTCTTCAACTAATTGGTACTAGAGGCAAAAGTTGAAATTCCACCCCAACGCTTCCGCTCCTTTCAAGGGTGAGAGCATCCCTTGCTATATTTTATGCGTGCTTTTCTAATTCCCGTGACAAATATATCCAAACAAAATACTAACATCTAAACTCACAACAAGAAACAGTACTTTTCAAAATAAATTTTAAAGAATTTATGGAACGCAGTTAGCAGGATGTAATAGATTCGTTTAATAAAAATATATTAACATATGAAGAGTGGATATGTAAAATCGTGTTTTTGTTGTTGTTATTGTTGTCCATTCGGATGGATCTGTTGCAGTAACAATATTTTAACTCTCTGAACAAACACAACTGCAGAGACAATCTAAAAGCGATACCCGAGCGCTTTGTGTCCTCCCCCGACGTCCCAATAATCCGGCCTTTGCATCCGAACACACACACACACACACATGTGGACATGGACATCTACATGTATGTATATACACATGTGTCCCTTTTGAAAGGTTGTGTCATTTCACCAATTCCCGGATCCATGGACAATTCAATTTTCCCTATCGTGGAAATGCTCTATATGCGAGCTTACATTATTAACTTCGACCATACACACTCAACCGCATACATACACGTACACGAATACACATATCCAGCTCTAACTGTACATCCATACGTAATATAAAATACGTTAGCGTGATATTATTAAATATAAATCAATATTTGATTTTCCAAATATATAATTGTTGCTTTGATTTTGAATAAAATTGCAAATGATCTGTAATTAAATACGGCGAGCCTTGAATAGGCATAAATAATATCGCCATGTATATGGCATTTAATTGATAACAAATAACGCGCGGCAGAGGACGGAGAGAAGAGACAGAGAGCGAAAGAGAGACATGGAAATGTATAAACCATAACAGTTGTGCGGTAATAATTGGTGCCAATTATATGATTCAGTTACAATGTGATAAATTCAACGTTGACAATTAATAATGCGAATAATTCAATGCGGCCATAATTACAGAACTAGGTGTCATCTGTGTTGGAAGGAAGCGAGCGGGAAAAGAAAGAAGAACTGGTAGCATTGGCTTATATGGAGAAGAAACCAGTCGTGATTTATAACCGATTTTTCTTAATATTATTAGCGAATGTTATTTTAAAATATATGGCCGTAGTTTGTATTTGTCATGCATGTGTGTGAGTGTGAGCGTGTGTGTATATATATGAATGTGTTGTTTGTGTATAAGTTAGGCAATGGTGATATATATCTTGTGGATCATGTGTGTTATTCTAAGGAAGCGAACATCCGCTATTGGTGAAATATAGCCTTGTCTTTTTGAACAATCCTAAACAAGTCGTACTTTTGTCCGGATCCCCCGGCTCGATGATGCGTTAGTAAAACGGTTCACCGGATCCGTTGCGGAAAATAAATAGGCTTTGATCATCGCATAGGAAACGATCTGGAGGAGCCATTTGGCTGGCAGTGCCGGAATGCCGCGGATAAATACGCCATAAATTATATTACCCAAAAGACAATAAATATATCATCCCCATTATGATGATAATCCGCGCGGAAAATGCACATTAATTCGGCGGCATTGTCTACCGATTTTCTTTCAGTCCCACATCATTACCGTTTCGATAATGCTCTGTCTGTCTGTCTGTATGTCTTTGCCTCCTCGTCGTCGCCCTATGATGCATCATTGTCTAGCCTTTTGATATACATGTCTCATTGAGTTTTTATCCCTCTACAAAGTTCCCCGCCCTCCGTTCGATAATAAAGGCGGCGCAACCATTGACATAATGACTGATACAATACATGTCATCAGAGTCACTTGTTCTGCAAGGAAGTCATTTTCCCCGAACTCGGACATGACTTGACCCAAGTTGAATTTATGAAGCCCATTTGCTTTATGCTCTCATACATACCCATTCGCACCAATACATGCAGACGATCCAGAAGGCATTATTATTATTATTATTACATGTACACCATTCAGACGTAATTAGCTAAAATGTCTCTTGTTCGGGAGCGAATTTTCCCATCACGTGTTCCTTCTTTCCTCATCTACTTTCACCCTATACCGCTCGCGTTCTTCCCGAAAGAAAGAGCGAGAGACACAGAGAGAGAGAGAGAGAGAGAGAGGAGAAAAAGCAACGCGGAAACCAAACAGAAATAATATAATGAAGTAAAGAAAATATTTATTTGAGAAATTAGATTTGTTTTTCCCGCTGTGCCGGCTGTAAAATTGCTCGAGTCTTTCAATCAATACAAAACAGACGAATCGCATTATATATACTATATATATATATATATATGTTTGTTATATATTTGAAAGTATATATATATATATATATATATATAAAAGTATCATTAAGGACTCCGACGTAAATACATTATCGTCTTTTATAAAACAAATTCCCATTTATTCTTTTGATACAGGGCTCTTTTGCATTATTCAAAGAAAATGAATGCTTTCAAAAAGTGCGCACAATGTATACCCTCTTTACTTGTGTGTATATATATATACACACAATTATTTATTATTTATATACATAATTATTTCAAGAAAATTAAGTAAAACGGTAAAACTTGTTTTTTGTATTAATTCTGGAATCAACAATATCATTTCCTTATTATATGACCTTTGATTAGTAAGTAATCAAAACATTTTATGTGCAGTAATATGATTTATAAAATGAAACGACTAACAAAACAATCATTGAATTGAATCTGTTGTGAAGATTATAATGGCATTATATTATGATGTCCGTTGAATGTTGTTTGATAAGCGACCGTATCTAACCTTATGACATCCGATTGTTCTGGACAAGATTTAGTTGTAATTGAGTATGGATGCTGGATAGACACGAGCAGCGGCGCGCGGGATCTTCGACAGTGTATGTGTTTATTTAGAATCGGTCAGTCGGTAGTAAATGCAATTTGATGTAATTTGGAGGCGGAAATTGACGCTGGCGTCTTTCTGCTTTCGCTCCTTGGGACTAATCGAATGTGTTCGAAGGTGGTAAACGCCTAATCCGACTGGTAATAAACGTTCGGAGTTCGTCGATGGGAATTTCCAATTAATATTTGGATAACGTTGCAACGGCCTTTTTCTTCTTGTTGCAGAACTATGTCTTCCAAGCGCAAATCACCACCGACGAAACTGCACGAAGGTACGGCCATCGAAGAAATCGCAGCACCTTTACCACCAACAATCATCGGCGGAGGCAGCGACGGTGGAGGTCTGACCGACCTGGACGAGACAAGCAGCAATAATTTGAGCGACCTGGAGGATCAGACGTCGATGAACAATTTCAAAACGTCGTACAAACTGTCGGAATCGTCGAGCCCATCGATATCAGGCAGCGAGGTCGACGATGCCATTGAAGAGGAGAGATCTCCACCGAACAAGAAGCAGAGAGTGTGTCAGGATGTTGCTGAGCCCTTGGGGAGCGAACCCGAGGGCAGAAGGCGCAACTCCGAATGCAGCTCACCCTCCTCCGATCTGAAAACCAACATACTCTATCACAATAACAACAGCAGCTTACATAACAACAATAGTTCTACTCATCCTCTCAAACGCTCAATGGACGACGTCCTCAAACGGCTCACTTCGAAAATGAATAGCAGCACAATTAAAGAAGAGAAACGACCCACCCCAGCTACCACCCCCAATAATTCGTGAGTCCAATGCATACATAAATACATACATAATAATACATTAATAATACTAACAACAACAAAAAAAAACTGCTATTAGGTATACTAACATATTATATACATATATATATATATTTATTATCTAATTTTAATAAAACTGCGTATTATCATAATAATACAATATCTTTAATTTCGCCTTGACTTTTTAACCCCCTTTTTCATTAATCTCAAATAATAACTAACAAACCGATTAACCTAATTCTTTCCGCTTCTTTGACGAAACACGATAAATCCTTCTACATTCACATACACACACACACACACACACAGAGACAGACGTTTATATACATATATTCATGTACGATTTTACAGGCGCTTCATTCATATGTTTATTACAAAATCTTTTCTCTTACAATTAATCAATAACTACATAATATATATATGTATATACGTATATAAACTAGTATATAAATATTCATATACATATGTATATATATATATATATATATGAAAAGATTTGTGATTTTCTTATCTGAAAACGGAAACAGCTTCATCACATAATAACTTTACTCGAGCTAAGATAAACTCTTAATCCCAGCACGCATGCTTATCTCCATCAGACTTATATATATACATACATACATACGAAATATTTTTAATTGACCTTTTCGTTCTTTTGTTACCCAGATGTATCAAAGTCTATATGTTAGATATTTGTAGGGATGTGTGTATTATTTAATGAGTATTCTCAGGTCGCGCCGTCGTCGTCTGTCATTAATGTCATTTGGATAGAAAATTTATTGAATTATGCATTTGTGCTCAGAGAGTGAGAGAGGGTGGCGAAACGAATCAAAGGTGTCTCTACTATACAGAAAGTAATTTGATCCTGGAAATGCATTACATTATACATAAACTATATATATATAGATTGAAGGCAGTGTTAAAACTAGAGGGTTACGTGCTCCTATCGCAGACTAGAGAGATTAGCTCAGAAGGCGGTCAAGCTTTTGCATTATACAACGTGCGACGACTACCTTAGCGAACTAACTTTACCCAATAACTTGCTAACCACGACTACTACTACTACTACTACAACTACTGCTGCTATCTATTTACATACAGCACAGAGAGATATTATATACGCTCTATCCGAATCCTCTCTAACAGCATCCTTCGCTGCGCGTCTTACCTATCCGCTGTGTGTGTTTCTTCGTCTTCATTTTTTTTTGTTGCTTTGTGCTTGTAACTTTATGATTTTTATATAAAGATGAAATGTGCAGATACGGGGTATAAAGGGAAGCAAAAATAATGGCGGTTGATTAACCCGGAGATTTCATGACGCGATTGTAACTGTCGGGTACAAAACGACTCGCGTTATCCAGTGTAATCTTTTATTTGCACAAAAGCGAAAACAATACTTTTATAAGGCTGCTTTTCACATACATGTTTTCCTCTCTTCTTTTTACAGAGATGAAGGCGCTGCCGCTCTACAAGAAGCTCTATCTGGAGATACTTTCATGGAGAAAGAACGGAGGCTCTCGGAAATGATTCTGCAACTGCAAATGGTCAGGGAGCAGCTACTCTCCCAGCAACCATCACAATTAGTAGAACCAAAGGTAAGTCAAAATCAATATTAACTATTCCTTCAATTGATTACGCACATTCTTAATATCAGTTATTTATTGAAAATACAATTTTCCATTCATTACGTGGACATTATTTCACTGTACTAATTTATAAATTCTCTACTATTAAATGATGACAAAAAATGACTGTATTTTTCGGAGGAGATTCGACTTCTAAACTACAATACGAGTATAACAAAAATAATCTGGAGGCGATTATAAATTATTGATATATATATTTGATTTGCGTTCGGTTTGGTGATGGAGTGTAGAGTGAAAGAAAGAAAGGAAGGAAGGGGGAAACAGTACAAAATATACATGACAATCCCCACGAAATGTGCGTTGCATATTTTACATGGGTATCCGATCTGCATTCAGGTCACCTTGTTGACTTGCTCTTTTGATACACAACGCGCGGACTCTGGAGAACGAAGGAGCAGCGAGCGAGAGCACAAAGGAAACGGGGAACGTGAATAACGAGTGAATGCAGAAAGAACAACTCAATGGACAAGTTAAATTAAACATATACATGTACACACACACACACACACACACACAAACAGTTACAAACACACAAAAAATGAATAATGAACGAGATCCTTCTGATATGCCCAGACCTATTACGGGGCTTTTTCCATTGATGTTCACTGTGCGATCCTCCACGTCCTCCCTCTTTGTATCTAACATCCCTTCTGCAGATTTTTCGTGGAGTTTCGAGGTCCGTTGTTTAATGTTCCATTTAGAGGATCATCGCAACCAGTAGCGACACATTGTCAGTATGTGTGTGTGTACAAGAGTATGTATGATTGTGTTTGTGTGTGTGTATTACTTACAGTGCCTGAGCCCTATTAAATGAGCTGCACTGTTTTTATTACTAAGCGTGTCGACACCCACGCGCATGCCGCACGCTATTGGCTGGCAGTCGTTTCGAGTGACCGCTATTGGTCAACCCATAACAGTTGAATTACTCCGTATGATTCCATGTGGCAGGTGGGATAATGGGATTAATGTATATTGCGGAGCGAATATCCTTTGAGCATTCTTTCGGATTTCGCTCTTCATGCAGAATGCATCATCCACACATTTTTCTTCATCTTCGCTTTGGATATGGTGAAGATGGTTAATCCTCACCGTAAGTAATGAGCTTATAAATAACCTTTTTTAATAGCTGCACCGAAGATTAATAATGTGACCGAAGTAAAAAACAACTGACGCGCTATAAAAAGAACGCCCGTTTACATAATTAAATGTGTAAATTTATCAATCCCTTTTTCGAGCCGATGATAAATCGGAACCACAGATCCGCGCTGCTCCGTCTTTGTTCCTCGATAATTATCACGAATCATATTTTTGGCTGCTCCCTGCCGAATAATACCCTCTCTCGTTTATACAGATCTGTGCGGCTCTGAATTGAACTCAATTTCCCTCAGACATCTTAGTCTTTCATGTTTTGGATGTTTGTTTCTGTATACGTACGTGTAGTGTAGTGTGCTGCTGGATCTTGGGGCGGGTTGTTGGAATGTTGAGAGTGAGATAGAGAGAGAGAGAGAAATGGAAATTGTGCGAGTGCGAGAGGGACGCAGAGAATTGTCGCTAGGAATTCTGATTGGTTCGGTTGACATAAACAAAGGGAAGCACAAACCGTGTATACCGTGGCGAAGTAAGAGCATTGAATTGCGGATCTCGCTTTCACCGAGAGAACCCCGTCCGGCCCCGGCAAAATTATAATTACAATTCTTTGTGAACCGCTCACGAGACAACGTTAACGAGATAATGTCGATGAATAGTTGTATATTATATTTGAAACAGAACAAAAACAGTTCACTTATTTTCCGAACCACCCTCCTCCTAAACCCTTGCACAGATTTCAGCTTGGAAACTGCAAATGATCAAAGTCTCTTCAGCCTCTTTCAGGAATCCTGAACAAATAGAGAAAAGAAGAAAACAAATGAACGGGCAGCTGAAGATGGCGAGGCGAGCGAAAGACGAGATGGATAATTATTGAGCAATTAATATGCAAGGATAAGGCCTGCTGCGCTGTCGATACACTCGTGTAATGCTTAGGTTATTGCGATCATTTATTATTTTAATAGCTCAGTTTACTAGTTTGCTCTGCGTGTTAGCTAACCACAGCATATTAATCTGTCGGTCCGGGTTGATAACGCAGATCGTAATCGCCATAATCGTCCTTTCTCGGGATTTGCTGCGGACAATAATATGTAATATTCCGATGGCTTTGTCAGCAACTGCCTGCCTACATTATGATTGCTCTCTATTCGGATTTGATTGCATTTGTACTTTGTACTGCTCCATTCAAATCATCCCCTTTTCAAACACACACACACACACACATACAGACACACTGAAACATGCAAACGCAGCCGGCCAACCCAAACAACGCATTAATATCATTTTAATACCCAAACCGCAAATCCCTTCGTAGCTCCGTTCGCAGGATTTAAACAACTTCCCTTTATCAACATCATCATCATCATCATCGGCACATAATAATCACCATCTCGGCCTATCCTCGCGGAACACGGATGCCTCCATTATATTTGAACAAGATCTAATTGTACATAATCTCGTTATCATTAGCACGGCAGCGTCTGATTTTGGGCCCTCAAAGGTTCGCAACTCCCAGAACCACCCTCTCTCTCTCTCCTCGTCCTCCTTCTGCTTTCCCCACCCACGTTCCTCCCTATGTTTTACTTCATCGCCATTCCAAATCCTGCTCCTGTGTAATTAAGTAATGGGAATCAAAGTTCTGTGCTTTCTGATCTGTGATGCAGCTTCTATTTGTATAACCGTTTACAAACACCGTGTTATGTACTGCGTCCATCCCAAATTTATTTTTCTTCCCTTTCCTTTCTCTCTCTCTCGCTCTCGCTCTTACTCACACTCCAATCAATACCATTTATTCAGCTGAAAAGAAAACATCCCATTCATTTGCGAACAAAGTTACATTATTTAGAGACCCGCGCTCTTTAAGATAAATAAGAAATTTGCATTCACGAAATCCTATAGATGCTTGATCAAAGTATATATTATACACACACACACATATATATACTCTAAGGGTGGCCTGTATTACTATGTCTAGGTATTTATGTGGGCATATATAAACCCCCTTATGCCAACAGCAAATGGGCTTTTATGTGTACATAATGTTTGCATATACATAAATACATGTATTCCTGAAATTTACCCTTTGTGTTTTCGGTCTCATATACATAGACACATACATACATACACGAATACACTACACTTGTCATTACGCAAAACTAATGAAACATTTATCAAAATCTAGCATTTACCTGCTGCGAAATGCGAGAAACAAACCCCGAAATGGATGTACCCATTTTATTTGTTTCAGTACAATCTCTGTCGTCTTAATTCAATGACTCAATTCATGTGTTTAAAAGCTCTCTGTGTCTGGCTGTGTGTGTGTGTATATATGTAGTGTACAATTGTATCCAATGCGGTCCCATTGCAGCAGGCATTGATGTCATATTTATACACGCATACAAATACAGTCGTACGCCATGTACAATAACAACTAATTTCCATGATTCCTATTGATGTATCTCTGCTACAATATAATATAATGATGGCTATTAATGTTACTAATCATGATGAATGCGCTTTCAGTTACCCTTTCATCGAAACGCACACAGATGCATGCAATGCGTACACACGGATCCTTTTACAAATTATTATTTCGTTATTGATTCACATTACGCTATTTACGACAATTTACATTATTCGGCTCCCGTCGAATTCACGAATTTCAACACAGTCGACTCCATTTTGTAATCGATCTGTTTACATTACATCTCTTTTTAAATTTCATATATCTAATGAATGTCATAAAAGCTCTTTAAAAACACTACCACCTCAGATAAAAATTAGTTATAAAAATTACAAAAATATTTATTGCAACAATTTCATAAGTTTATCAAACAAAGAGATAACAAGATAAATGTGAAAATTCTAGTTTAATTTTAATTAATCATTGCAATGATTCATGTATTTTTTTTTATTATTTCTTATTTTTTTCGACTGTAATTATTTATACAAAACTTTAAATTTTAACAAATTTTCCATGAATAATATACACATTTTATTAAAAATAAGTTTGTTTTTTTTTTTCAAATTTTATTTATAGAAATAATTTACAATTGGGTCATTTTCATCGCTTATGATTGGAATATTTTAAACTTAGTATTCTGAGACCTCAAATTTCTGTATAATCTTATCTGGTTTAGCCATAACAATTGACACTGTACTGGTTTAGTAAACTTATTTATAAATTTATGTATTTCTTATTTAGAATATCATCAATAATGTGTTCAAAATAATGCATTTATTTCATTTAGGTTAGTTAGGTGATTATTGATTTTTTTTTTGTTGCTGCGGATATGATTCACAATATATAATCTGAATTAATTAATTGAAATTATTACGTTTTTGAATTAATCATTCAGATATCTATTATGTAAAACTTGACAAAATAATTTCGATTTCTTTTGCTATAATTAATTGACAGTCAATGTTATTCACACTGTGATCTGAGAACAGTAAAAATCAATGTTGGTGAAACTTATGAGTCGAGATTGATGGGGTTCGGGAATTCTGATCGAGTAAAGGAGGATTAACATATAAAAAGGATGAGGAAAGTTTAAATTACAACCAGAATATGGAAGCTGAATTTGTAGACCTGTCTCTGCTAGTGCAAATCGATCGTCCTCGCAGACCAGAGTTTCTATTTTATCGTATCATTAATAGTAACCAAAAATACCGTCTCGGTGGTTAGAATTTTACGATTCTGCAACTCGCGGTTCGGCATTACAGCACCGCGCATTGGCATTGGAGGAATTCATGGCTCCACGCCATCACCGTGCCATATAAACCTGCATAATAAAACATTCTATTCCGTTATTACTTTTACATTGAATTCATCCGTTTATCGCGAAACGCCGAATGCATTA